TCAGGAGATGACAATGGAGCCTCTTTGCATCGGATAAAATCAGAGGTTGAGATTGATTCTATTGAAAATTGAAACTTTCTTTTTTGTGAAATCTTTTATTCATCCATTGAAGCTAAAGACACAAAAGAGTTTGGGAAGAACTCTCAATTGCGCATATAAATATAATATACATATTGAAGTTTTCTTAACAAATTAAAATCATCTCTCTTTGTATATGATGAAGATGTGTGTTGGATTGATAGATAAGCAAACAAGCTGTATAAGTCAGATAATCTGATTGAAAGAACAAAACTCAGCTTTTTGTAATTCCCTTATAGTTTCTTTTCAAAAATTCAGAACCATCCAATTATTATTAATGAAAAGAACAAATTTCATTCATGATTTGTAAATGCAAATGCAAACTGAATAAGATAAAAACAGTAAAATGTTAGTATTTTTTTTTTTTAATTGGACATAATGATAAAATTTAAGCATTTTAATCAAAGAAAAAAACTATCTTAGCTACGTGAATCTTAAGAATCAATCTTAGCTACAAACAAGATTAGATTTATCCAGAGGAAAAGGAAAGAATTATATACTCAAATTAGCTATAATTAATTAGTTAATTTTATCATTCAACTGATAGAAATAATTCATACTAAGATAAAATAATTATCATTAAGAATAGTCTTTGGAAATTTTTTCTTGTCAACACTTTTTCTCTTATTTTTCAAATACAATTGTCAATAGTCAATAGTTTCAAATCTTATAGAATAAATTAAAATTAAAATGTGACCACTCCACTAAACTTTTTTTTATATATTTTTTGGGGTGATTCGACCACTATTTTTATCCAAGTTAGACCACTCTCTTTAAGAATTTTCTTGATTCAATTAAAAAGGATTGACTCAAATTTAGATTCGTAAGAATTGTCAGCTGTGAGGTCTAATGCAAAAAATAGCAGAAGATACGACACGTGTCAGTATCTTAGAGATTCCTTCAAGGGGTCCACCCTAAAAGCCTTTTAAGGTTTTTTTTACCAAATAAGAATGAAGAATCCTTCCAAAAAATCCCAAAATCTGAGTCCGCTTTTCAAAGTTGTCTCCTTTTTTTCTTCATTATTATACAACCCCACTTGATCCTCTTTTCCTCCTATAAGAAAAAACCTTGTCTTTCTCAATCCAATTCCATCAAATCCCTCTCTTAATTTCTGGGTTTTGCTCTGTTTGCTCTGTTTCTTCCTTTTGTTTCTGAATTCGGAGATTGTTTGAATTCGATGTGTTTGATTATGGAAGACGATGACGACGGTGTTGTTTTAGTTTCTCCGTCGAATTTCTCAATGGTTGAAGACGGAATTTACCGATCTGGGTTTCCTCAGCCCGAGAATTTCGGTTTCCTCAAAACCCTAAATCTTCGTTCAATCATGTAAGATTGTTGATTCTCTTCCTTTTTTTGGATCTTTTGGGTTTATACGATTGGTTACTGTTTGATTGGTTTTGCACAATTGATTTCGATTAATTAATCGTTGTATCACCAAAACAGTTATCTGTGTCCTGAACCATACCCCGAGGAGAATCTCAAGTTTCTTGAGGCCAACAACATTAAGCTTTTCCAATTTGGAATCGAAGGCAAAACGGTGTGTAGATTCTTTAGCCGTTTCTTGTGGTGTATCTGATCTTTTGGAATCATGTGATGTCCTTTGGTTTCTTATATTGAATTGTTTTATGATCTGCAGGATCCTCCAACTCCAATGCCAAAAGATACAGTTTTGGATGCTCTCAAAGTTTTAGTTGGTAAGTAATGAACCCTCAAACCACAGTCTTTTGATGTTTATAGGCTCGTCTTAGCTGTTTCATGAATCTTAATGTAATTGTTTTGTTTTCTGTGTAGATGTAAGGAACCATCCAATTCTCATTCATTGCAAACGCGGAAAGGTAATCTTCAAAATTCCTTATTTCTACAAGACACTCTTCGGTTTTTAGGAGCCTCACTCTTTGGTGGTCTTTTAGGAGATTGCGTGATTAGTTTTTTTCACAGGACAGTCATGGTTTTTTGATGTTTTGGTGAATGCAGCATAGGACAGGTTGTTTAGTGGGATGCTTAAGAAAAGTTCAGAGCTGGTGTTTATCATCGGTGCTCGAGGAATACCAGAAGAACGCGGGTCTGAAGTGGAGACAAAGGGACTTGAAATTTATAGAGACATTTGATATAGTGAGCTTGAGGCAGTGTCTCTTAAGCATTATGTATCGGTATCACGGTTATGGTTTCAAGAGGAGAAGGTTACTGAATGAAGAAGAAAATGTTCAGAAACTGAAACCGCAGGCTGCTAAAGTTTGAAAAGAGAGAGAGCAACCAAGTGGGGATATGATTCAGGTTTTAGTTTGAGTTTCGATTTATCGGTCGGTCACTGGATGATTCTTTTAGTACGGGAAAGTTAGTTTATATCAAAATTCATAAACAGAGGTTTGATTTGGTTTTTTATTTTTTTAGATATAGAATTGTACAGAAATGTTATTCTTCTTTAGATAATGATGCAGGAGAGATCATTTAACACAATGACCACTGATGCTTAAGTTGCTTTATCTTTTTCTTTGTTTGGTGTCAAGTGCCAACTCTTAAAGTTGATTTTATCTAATTGTTCAAAGACACTCTCTTTGAAATAGATATTGTTATACAATCAAATAAAATTATAGTTGGATAAGTGGAAGACTATGTAAAAATCCGATTTAAATTTTATAAGACTAAGTTCGTAAATAATATAATCATTTATTAAATCTTGAAGAATTTTTTAATATCTTTGTATACTACTGTATCACCGTAAATTAAAAAGTTGACAAAATTGATTTCATAAAATTTAAAAGACATTAATACACCATGTGATATTTACGATCACAGCATATTAGAACAAAAGTTGCAGTAACAATTTAATTAAAACATTTGTGCTTTAAGAACTTCTCCAGCCAATAAAACTGAATGTAAATAGATCAAAATTGGGTAACATATTTTCGTTATAAAAAATAAATTATTAAAAAAGGTAAACAGAGGAGGTTAAGAGTATCGAGCCATATTCTAATTTACACCATGTGCTCTGCATGATAAGGTTTCTGACTATATATAGCACATTGTTTATCAATAAAAAGAGAGACACATGTATTAAGAAAACTATGCTCTTTTTTAATCAAATGAAAACTATGCTTTTTTTTTTTTATCAATAGAAAACTATGCTATAAGTCTAAGGATTTTGTTTCTAAAAGAATCCAATTCGATTAGCTTTTTCTAAACTGAAGTAAAAATTGTTCGAATGACGCAAAAAAACTTAAATGAAGTGAATGACTTTAATTAAAATGAATATTAACTGTATTTCTGAGAAGATGATAACTTTTTCTAACTTTGGTTTATAACAAAAAAACGTAGATTAGAACCTTTTTTTTTTGTAACTTAAAGAAAATCACATATCTTGAATAACAAACAAAAACTTCAAAACGATTAGCAAAAACAGTTCTATATAATCTCTCTTAAATAACGTATTTTTACTAACAAAATGAAGAATTTTGTTTTGTTTTCAACCCTTCTAATTTTTGTTTCATTATGTAAGTTTTTTTGGTTGATTAAGATAATATGTAGAATATTTTATAGTTTTTGACGAAGTATAATATTAGTAATTTGATATATGTTTGAAATTTTATAGGTACATCAAATATTATGGCAAAATCTAATCGAAAAGAGAGAATCGGTTTTTTCATTTCACCTGCGAATCCTCCAATTGTCAAAAATACATATACTTTTTGTCAAAAATGTAAATATGATTGTATGATAAAGTACTTTCTACATGTCCATACTTGTCAATATCCTGTTTGTCGTTGTTTAAGATTATTAAAAAGAATATGATAATTCAAATAAAGTATGATAATTCAAATAAAATAACAACAAATATAAATACATATTAACTATTTTTATTTTCTTGTGTTTCAATCTACAAATAAGATTTTTGCATGGAAACATTTTCTATCAAAATTGGAACTAAAGCACGAAACCATTTGCCTGCAAACATAACAATACATCAAACAATTTCAATGATCGAACGTTGTTCTGAAAACAAGAAGTTGTATGCATATTAATGTGCTTAATCCTAACACAAACCACTTGACCCAAACGAGTACTTTGGAGTTTCGACACACGACACAATGATATATTTACTTAAGACCTTGTAAACAAAAATTATTTGGTATTCACCTAATAAATTATTAAAAAGGGTAAACGGAGGAGGTTAAGAGTACCAAGTTTTTTATAATTTATCGAGTCATGTCATTATTTTATAAAGAATATTTCAAGTTATTGATATCAGAAAAACAAGATATTTGCCAATTAAACGTGAGCTAAAGGTTTTCTCTGCTTATGTTTGAACAGACACAAAGCTTTTGATTTAAGAGCATGTTTATCCATGAATTTTTATGGGTTTCTTTAAATATAAATTATTAAAACACACACTTTCTCTTTATTTTACTCAACTTTATACATTCTCTTTCATCTTTTTACTCAACTTTTATTAATTTTATATTTAAACACACCCACTTTTTCCCACAAAACTCTCCAAAAGTATCAACTTAAAGAAACTCTCTCTTCATTTTACTCAACTTTTATTAATTTTATATTTAAACACACCTACTATCTTCTCTCTTTATTAATTTTATATTTCAATACACCCCATTAATTCAACCAAAAACACTCTCTTTCTTCGTTTTACTCAAATTTTAATAATTTTATATCTAAAGAAACCCACAAAAGTTCACCAATAAACATGCTCTAACTTATCAGAAAGAGATTTTCCCTTCAAGCATTTTCTATCAAAATTGGAACTAAAGCACACAACTTAATGCCTTCAAGCATAACAACACATCAAATAGTTTCCATTTAAAATATCAGTTTATTATTTCATACAATAATTATACTTTAATGAACACCTTTTAGAAAAAATAAAATTAGAAGATAGTAGTTTCTCTAATTTTCATTTATAACAAAAAACGCTGATTAGTACATTAATTATTTTGTAACATAAATAAAAACACATATAAATATGATGTATTTATCCTTAATAACTTTGAAACAAAAATTCAAACGATTAGCAAAAATTATTCAATATATTTTCTTTCTAACATAATTGTTTTTTTCATAAAGAAAATGAATAAATTTGTGTTGGTTTTAACTATTTTGCTTTCGGATTCACTTGGTAAGTTTATTTTTGATTGATTAAGATAAAATGTAGAATATTTCATAGTTTTATTTGAGATACGATTCTAATAATTTGATGTAAGTTTTGAATTTGTACAGGTGTATCAAATATTATGGCTAGATCTAACTTGGATAAGACAACTCAATTTTCCAATCCAGCCGCAAGTCCTTCGATTGATTTTCAGATAAAAAATCAACATGTAACCGATGATAAGCTATTTACTTTTTGTCGACAATGTCAATTTGAATGTCTGTTTGACTATGGAATCACAAAGTACAGTTGTCAAAATTTTCGCTGTCGTTGTCTAAGAAAACCTGATGACGGCGTCGGCTACTAAGTTGTTCTAATTTATTTTCAAATATGACAAATAAAATAAAACAAAAATATATAATTATATTTTCTTTTGTTTCTAGTGTGTTTATTAACAAATAGTTACCATATATTTAGCAATTTACAGTTTACATTACTTCTCTAAATGCTAAAATAACGGTTTTAAAATTTTAATATCCGCACATGAGGTGAACCGATCACATCTCATACATTTTTATATTGTCATTTAACTATAATTTGTTTCAAAATAGAACCATATCATTCAAATAATATGAATGACATTAAATAAACTATATTTTATTATGTAGTTGACAAAATATATATCAAGCAGAATCATACATTGAGAAATAAAATAGCGATACATTTGAAAATTAGGGCAATTACAAAATGTCACTTTTTGTGTGCCTACAAAAATGCTATTTATGGGTGTCTATTTACAAAAACGCCACT